AATGTCGTGGTGGCCCGAAGGTTTAAGACGCCCACTTCTCATGCATGAGGGTGCGGGTTCGAAACCTACCAACGGCAAGTACCAATGTGACTTTTTCCAAGTTATATGTACTTTCTAACATTATTTAGACACCACTGACAAACGGTGAAGGAAAAACATCGTGAGGAAACCTGGACTTATAATTTCTAATTATAAGTTTGAAATCGCCAACCCGCATTGAGCAAGCGTGGTGATTAACGCTCTAACCTTCTCAGTGTGAGAAGAGGCTTTGCTCAGCAGTGGGCATTTATAGGCTGTTGATGATGATGAATGAGAAAATCAACTGTATTAAGTAGATTGTATTAAAAACTAGCTGACCCGGCAAAATTTATACCGTCTACAATTTTTTCCATCTTTTTAACCTTCCTTGGACTTTCTCGAATATTTCAGAATTAGCCAAATCGGTTCACCCATTCTCGAGTTTCAGCGAGACTAAGCTAACAGAAATTCATTTTTATTTATATAAATTGATGATCCCTTTTCCCACCATCAGACGGCATCGTTACATACCCTATGGTAGATTACTTTTTTCTATGGAAACCAATACTTTCGACGATATATGTACATACATACATACATAATTCACGCCTGTCTCCCATGGGGGTAGACAGAGACTAAGGAACGCGAATTACCACGATTCCTACATACCTCTTTCGCTTCATTAACAGTCATCAATCTTTTCATGCATGCTCGTCGGTTAAGGGTACTTTTAATTTGGCCCTTTAATATATTATTTATATATTAAAATAATTATATTGATATATTGATTTGAATATCGCCTGACGTCACTTCTAGGTATGTTTCCTTCTATGAAATGATGTAGCTTCAACTTTGATTAGTTTTATTTAAGTATTGTTTTCTTATACGTGGCTAATGTTTTTCTTTACTTAAGTGACAGACTAAATAGATTTTTAATTCCAAACCCCGAGTATTTACTAGGTATTTTTAGTCATGTTAAGCGAGGCTTGTAGAAGTCGTATCGTCTTAAATAATAAATATTTAATTGAAGTAGATTGAGTCGCAGGTTATTTGATTCGTGTTGTTAGCTGTAGGGTTTCAGAAAATTGTATAGAAAACAATAATAAAAATTATTTAATTGTGTCACAGTAATATAGCAGTAGTTATAATCAATTTTGAATCTTATTTGTAGTTGCTAAATCCTAAATTCTTTTACAGGTTTAGCTTCAGTGTACCCTGAGCCGAAGGATCTTTCGAAGCACGTACATAACCAAATGTACAATTTCCATTACGAGAGCTCTATGCCAGTCGTCTGGGATTGGAAACCAGAGGAGAAATTTAATGTAAGACCTATTCAACCAGTCCCCAAAAATATTTAAATCAGTATTAGTTTCGTTTGGGTTATGTGTCAAATGTACTAGAAAAATTAGCCCGTTCAATCGTAAAAATCTATGTGGTATATGAAGTTAGAACTAAGGAACATGTATGTTCGTTGCTTATTAATGAAATATCCCAGTGATAAAAAATGTCCCTAAAAGTACTATTGTACACCAAGTATGACTAATGACGTCATCGGTTATTGGCCACGCGAAGAAAGGCATGAATATTGTTAAATTTATTTTTTATTAATCAGAAAATTAAGTACATTTATTTATGTTTGAGTGAAAATGTGTTTGCTCACAAAATCATGAATAATTATTATATTTTTTGTTTTCGTACACATTTGAGTTTTACTATTGAACAATTGGGCTTTAAAATGGGTTTACATCGACGTAGCGTAGTGTGTTGCCACACGAAATTATCCTACAATAAACATAGTTAAACTCGTAAACAATTTTATAGAAATTCACTATAACACAAGACATAAAATAATAAAATGCAACACACCACACTACAAGAAAAATCCGACTTATATAAGTTAATTTAAATTATGGAACGTTCGTTTTGGAATGGTGGTAGTTATGCAATAAACGATGCGTTCAGTGCACAACGCCTTTAATGGGAGTGTTCATGTTGTCCATGTATTACTGTTACAATAATTATTTTACACAAAGTATTTTATACCTCCGTAATTTACATAGTAAATATTTAATGTTCAAACTAGAAAAATCTTTATTACTACACTTAGGTTTAATGTCCAGTTACTTGAATCTCTTTTGGTGTATTTCTCTCTATTGTTAGGCGTATAAGTATTCTTTTAAAAGTATTACATATTAAATTGATAGATCCTTCATGGAATATTATTATCAAACAATATTTCTGGATATGTTCACAATAAACTCTTGTGAGTAACTGGACTTAATCCATGTTTAATGTAGTGTGTCGACTGTATCATTGTGTGCAAGTAGCTTGTAGTTGAGCAATTTTAACATTGTTATCGTATTCAGTGTGAAAATAATAATAATGGTGGCCTTTTAACGTTGTTTTTAGCTTTGCTCACTAAATGTTACATAGCTGCATTTCGGAATATTAGATTCGGACAATATTTAGTGCGGTGAATAAAATAACATTTGTTTTTTCTTTTCACATTGTTTTTAGTAACATTTGCCAATTAGTTTACTGCGACTTATAATACAATAGTTATTTATTGCTTGTTTTAGCTATCATTTTCATCATAGTGACATGCCAAGCTATTTATTTAGGACAATATTTTTCTAACATTATTTTTAAGCTGTAAATGAATTGTTTAGCAAAATGGAATGTACCTACTTAAATGTTGTGAATATTTGAATTAAATAACACGTTTTATGGAATGGAAGATAAGAAAAGTCTAGTCACCGCAGCATTAAAATGCAGGTCATCTATTTAATTTGCATTTCACATCATTATAATTATTATAAGCATTAGGAAAGAAATACAAACATGAATAATTATAAAGACATTTAGATACTAATCGATTAGAATGTCTAGAATTTATTGTGGAAATGTTGTAAAGTATGTTTACAGTTTTAAAAATGTTAACATGTTTTAATCGCGTTAGTTCTGATATTTCTTTTAATCAATGACCACACATTTTACAAGCATTTATTTTATATTAAACAATACATTACTCTATTAAAACGATTCGGTAGGTTTTTGATTAAAATCTGTTTATATCCATAGTGGTCGTGAATCGAGGAAACAATCTTAAATAATAAATATAATTAATGTTGCGTATCTCTGCAACTATAACGGACGAATAAAATGTAACCTGCTACCTAGTAGTTTTTTATCATTATTGTTTTGACTAAGTATTATTTTTGAATTCAGTATTTTAATAATAGTGAGACGAACTTTTCGCTGAGCGAATTAAATACAATTTTTATTTTAGGTAGTCAGTTATTTATGTTTCTTATATGTATCTGGTGATATTATGTGATTTTACTTGCTGTGACGATGTATAATAAAATTTATCCCACTGTACATGTTTGTTATTTTTTGGCTTAATGTTGTACGAAATAAAACCGCTTACGTAATGAAAATATCTTCTGTAAGTTGGTCAATTATACGGCAATACTTATAAGCAGGGTTTTATTTCATTTACAATGGTTGATTTCATTACGTCAATTAAATGAGTACCACCTTTATTGTAATGCAGCTTGGCAAAAGATAACATTATTGTGTTAGTTAATGCGATTGTTAAAATGAAAATTATAGATGTTACTCATTAAACATGTTCCAAAGATAAATATTTTTGTTTTATTTAACTTTTGGTGTACCTTTTACAACTTGTACTTGTAGATATTGCGATATCGAAAATATACTTACCTAATTTATTTTCTGCAATTGAACGATCCGAGGCCCATAGCACACGATGTATCTATACTAATATTATAAAGAGGAAAGATTTGTACCTATTTTTGTATGTTTGTAATGAATACGCTCAAAAAGTACTGGGCCGATTTAAAAAAATCTTTCACCAATAGAATGCTACATTCTTCCAATTTGACATAGGCTACACTTCATTTTGAAAAAAAAAAAATATTGTCTACCCCGTGCGAAGCCGGGATGGGCTGCTAGTTATTTATATGCGCACGCAATGCACAGACTTTATACTAGATTCAAACGCAACTTAGTAATCGTAAAACGCGGCTCTACTGCGCGTATACGCACTGTAGTCGCTCGGGACCTCGTAACGTACAATAAACCAATTGAAAACGCACAGTTATAGCGCGTTATACGCCCTCCAAACGTCTGTATCCACGCTTCATGATATATACAAATGTACTCTGTGGCTTCATGTGGGCGCTTGTGTCATCAAACTTATTATACTTTTTGGTCACCAATGCCAACGCAACAATCAGCGTCTACGACGCCAAAAGCAAAAGATGGGTGAATAGATACTATACAGAATTTCCCAATCTCTCTTTTGTCTTTATCTTATATGCTATATATAATATATAGTACATATTTTTATTTATTTATTTTATTTTCAGCCATGATCGTCCCACTGCAGGGCAAAGACCTCCCTACCCTCCTTCCACTTCTCTCTATGTAAAGCTTTTTGTATAGTACATAATATACATCTTATATCTTATACTCTTATCTTATCAGTGGTCTTTATGCACCTCACAATTCATATTCATCCTCTTTTATAAGTTATCAGAACCAAGGACAAGAACAAAATAAATAAATAAAGTAAGTAGGGTGGAAATTGTTGTGTGTTGTGTTGATTTGAATATAGTTAGTATAAATATAAATAAGTTGGAACGGAGTAAGAAAGAGTTTGCTGTACAATTAGCATTAACGAATAAAACAAGGCAATACAAAACATGTACAGGAGCTTTAGTATGAGTTTGTTTTACGTTTAAAGTAATCGTAACGGGTACGCATTCGGAGCTCTGATTGGTTGCTTCATTGGCGCGGGCCAATCAGAGTGCCGAACGCGTACTCGTTTCGAATACATTAAACGTAAAACAAACTCGTACTAAGGCTTCAGAACAGAACTATTCTTGGTAGGTACCAAACTTTTTGCGTTCATGCGTGCTGAGATATAAAAATGTTATATCAAAAGAATTATTCTTTGACAACTTCATTGTCAAGGTGTAAAGTTTTATAATGGATTTATTGTACAAAAACTAAAGCAGGTATTTATTTACTTATCTTCTATGTTAGTGGTAGCTCTCTTAGCAAAATATTAAATTAGAATATTTGTATTATTCTTTTGGAAAGTTCTTGCAGTCACAGGACAGGTTGGGTAGCTACACCTTTGACCCACCGTTCAAAGTTTGCATTAAATACAACACACCATTTATCCGTGGTACTCCCAGTTGCCCGCTTGGTAGGTACTTTCATTACCAAGTAGGATCTACCACATCCAACTTTGATTGTTCATATGATTTGCCATAGTTAAGACTGGTAGAATAAACCCGACGAAGAAAGACTGAATGTGGGCCCCACCTAGCGAGGCTCTGTCTACCTAAGAGCCCGTGGTACCTACTCGCATTAGTAGGTACCTACCTACTTGTTCTGTGTCGATTCGCTCTTGGTAGAGCGGTCGTGGTCACATTGAGGCTGCCCGACCTCCCGCCACCTCTCACTGTTTGTGAAGCGTTTGGCGCAGTGTGACACAGGGTTTCCTATTACCGATTTGACATGATCAGTCCAGCGCATAGGTGATCTGTTTCGTGCTTTGGTTCTCGCTCTACTTTCCCCTGCACGACCAGCCCTTCTATGGAGTTGTTATCGCACCTGGAGACAGTAAAGAATGCGCGTCTGTACTGGTTGATAGACGCTTTGTGATGCTGAGTTTCCGGAGTAGGTACGCATACGTTGGTGCGGAATTCAGTTCACGATATGCCAAATATTATCCTCCAGCACCACATCTCTAGAGCATTTATTTTCCAATTCACGTACTGTCCACATCTCTGCCGCGTAAAGGAAGATGGGCAATATCAGCGTTAGCCACCAAAACCACCAAGGTGAAACTTATGTTATTGGTTGTGAGAATAATCTCGACCTATAACGAGCGAGAATGCGATCGAGCTCACTTCCAGAGTTCGAATTGACTTCTTACAGATTTCTTCTTCTCTGTCGTTTCGTGGCAGAGCGGTCGTGGTCACGTTGAGGCGGTCGTATTTGTGTTGGAGGCGGATACTCCGCCATCTCTCCCTGTTTGTGGATTGTCTGGCGCAGTCTGACACTGGGTTTCCCGTTGCCAATTTGACTTGAATGCCTCTTACAGAATAATTTACCTGAATTCTTCTAACTTTCATTAGTAACCAACATAGAAACATAAAAAGACAATTATTCACGCGTCCTGCTATACAAAATTGTGACACTCTGCAGGCTGCTGGCTCGTTCTAATATTAGGTAACTAATGGCGAGTTGTCATTGACGCGGTCACGGTTATTATTTTCGTTTGCTATGCATGGTGAAAATTTGTGATTTGTTATAAGTCATTGAATATTACATTTTCAGTTTATTTTATGTTTAAAAAAGCGACAACTTTGGTAAAGTAATCGAAATCTGTTAAACAGTTGTTATATAGTTATCGAACTATTTTATTATGTGTGTAATTTTAATGTTTTTCCCATAGATTGAATATGAGGTCTGTAAAAGCAAATTTTCTAGTAAAAGAATACATAAACAAAAATCCTCTTAGAGTATTAGTTCGTGCATACAGTGACGAGGAGGTTATTCCAAATTCAATAAGAGGTTTTGATTACATAAGACACCCAAGACTAAATAAGGTAAATGGAAATAATTATATACTTATTTAATTAAAAAAGAGTTATTATTAGTAGTGGTGTGTATAACTCCAAAGACAGCTACAACATACTCTGTATTTATAGGGTTTAGCATTCACATTGGAAGAGCGACAAACGCTAGGAATACACGGATTGTTAGCAAGTACCGTCAGAACACAAGAAGAGCAAATTGCAATCTGCAAGTACTCATTGGAACGTTACGGAAGTCCGCTTAATAAACATCTTTATTTGGCGGAGTTGCTGGTAATCTTAAAATGTTAAAAGAAAATTTAAAACTAGGAATAGTTTCACGTCCATACAAATAAAAAGAACAGAAATATTGTAACAGAGGGTTCTTGTTGCGAGTGTACCTATATCTGACTATGTGCGCCTTCGTCGTAGCAAACACTGCTTTACGCGCAATCACTGATGTGGCAATTTATTGACATAGAACGATATAGGTACTCAATAGTTAGAATGTTCAAATTTTATTAACTCGATGTTTGATTTGATAAATTCCTCAATGTTTACTCGGATTAGGGAACAACTACCTACCTGATTGGTATAAGTTGAATTATTTTCTAGGATACCAATGAGAAACTGTTCTACGAGTTAATGAGTACAGACGTGGAGAAATACTTGCCTCTTGTTTATACTCCCACCGTGGGTTTGGTTTGTCAAAGGTTCGGCCTGGTATACAAGAGACCTCGTGGTCTCTTTATAACAATCCACGATAAAGGAAAAATTCACCAAATTCTTCGGAATTGGTGAGTTGATTTATTATTCATTTATTCGTTGTTTAGATGTAGAACTTTGTTATTAGAGTACTGTAGCCACAGATATATTTTAATATTTCTGTGACTGTAGCAGTGTTGGTAGGTGCAGAAAATGAAGTAGGCATGTAATACTTATTTTTTTAAACGATAAGTACCCCTTACAGTAAGATTTTCTCTTGTGTCGTGGGTGCGTTTCCAAACTTTCCAAACATGCAAGTTTATGCATATACTTAACACCCAGATTCGGACAATTTGTTGGACAATTATATAAATTGTTAGTTAGGGAATCGAATTTAATTCGTTTTTTATAAATATTTTTAAAGGCCAGAATCACACGTGCGCGCTATCTGTTTTACTGATGGTGAGAGAATATTGGGTCTGGGGGACCTTGGTGCTTTCGGTATGGGTATACCGATAGGCAAACTGTGCTTGTATACTGCACTAGCTGGAGTCCCGCCTGCGCACTGCTTACCAATAACTTTGGACGTGGGCACCAATAACCAGGTAGGTAGCTTCTGAACTCATGTGTTAGGTCTGACTTGACAGCTTTGTTGGTTAAGTGGTTGTAAACTCCAATGCCACAAAGGTCAAGGCAGCCAAAAAATTCGACACAAAGGTTTGGTTGAAATATATTGGGAATTCGATTTATTAATTTCTCCAGAAGTAGAATTTTACCCGGTATAAAAAAAACTGACCCCTTGTTATAATTAGGTAACTACTTATTACGTAACTGACAAAAAGTGGCTGTTACACTTAAAATGTTAGCCCTCTGTTCGGGGTATAAAAAAACCATCGAAATTTTATCTCATAACTTGCTTCTTTTTGTTGTTTAAAAACTTATGTTTCAGTCGCTACTAGAAGATCCCATGTATATAGGAGTACGACAGAAACGAGTAACAGGCAGTGCATACGATGAGTTGATCGAGGAATTTATGGTTGCGTGTGTGAAACGATATTCTCAAAACGTGCTTTTACAGGTATGTTATTGGTTAATTATTCGTTTAGTTTAATGTATATTTTGATGATAGTAGGTTTTTTCGATAAGGATAAAAACCTTTCAATTTGATCAACTATCTCATTGGCCGAGTAGTTGCAATGCAAAGATTTTTGGGTTTTCGATTTCGATTCGGTCGAGAGCACTATTATTAGTACAATAGCGTAGTTTTTCCGCTAATAGAGGCTACGATAGCCTATATTTTTTCAGTTCGAAGATTTTGCCCTTGCAAACGCTACCCGACTTCTGGATAGATATAAGAATGCTTACTGCACGTTCAATGATGATATTCAGGGCACTGCAAGTGTTGTAGTAGCTGGTATGTATGCTGCATGTAGAATTACAAAGAAAAAGCTGAAAGAAAATATATATCTATTCCTTGGAGCCGGATCGGTAAGTATTCGCATACTTTTATTATTCTTTTCTAACTATCATTCTATCCATCTTTTTAAATCTTTGAAATCTTTTCCAACCTTCCTCATCTAAAGCACTTGCTTCATCACATAGCCTTCTCATTACATAATATCCTAGACTGCTCGTGAAGGGAACCGACTATTTTTCAATTTCTCTGTAATCTGTTCCCTTTCAGGCATATTCTAAAATGTCTATTTGCAGTCTTCTTCATTTACGTTTTCATAACCCATCTTTCCTCTTCCACATTTTAAAATTGTGACATGAATTCTTTCAGGCCGGCGTTGGCATTGCATCTTTGTTATGTGATGCGATGGTCGAAGAAGGAATTTCTATGGAAGAAGCAATAAAGAAAGTATACATGGTTGACCATGAAGGTCTCCTATCCACCAAGCGACAAAGTGGTATACCACCTCACGCTGTTAAATTTGGTAAGGACATGGAACCGACAAAAGATTTCGCAAGCCTCGTGACGAGTTTGAAGCCGACTTGCCTCGTTGGTAAGTTCGTATTCCGATTATGCGACAGATGTTGTAGCTTACTATTATTACTAACTACCGTACTCAGAGGACTACAGAGGATTACGGTAGTTAGTAAATGTGTTATGTAACATTTGATGATTACATAATCCATTCCTTAGTAACGATTTTGTTCCGAAAACAATTAATAAGAATAATTATAATCTAGCAACACCACGACATGTCAAAGTATATAATTTTACCTTGTTTTTTTTTGTTTTTTTTTTACACATAATTTACACTATTTTTTCTCACATCCAAGATAACAAAACTTTTTTATAATAATATGTATATACCATAAAATCAACACTTAAAATAGCTTGTTACAACACTATAGAGGTAAATGAAGAACAAGGAAATATGACACTGATAGACTACAAAAGGAAGATTAAATGAAGCAGAATATTAAATAATGTTGATGTTGACGAGAGCTCGAGCGACGACTATTTTTTCCCGCCGACGTTGTCGACACCTGTACTTCGGCCGGGGAGAGGCCGGCCACCGACAGGCTTGGGAGCCAGGGCCAACAGGCCCAGGGATGGGTCCCCGCAACTGGTGGTTGTGTGCGGCGCATAAAATGGTCTCAAACCATAAACGAGAACGTCATGCGCTCGCACTACGGTACTACAAAGGAACGAACTTTACTGCGTGCCGTGAAAGGATGCTGTCTATGTTTCAGGTTCTTGAGCCATCTGCCAACGTCTCGGCCCAACGACTGGGATCGGATCAAATTGGGGTCATCCAACGCAATCGCAGTTTGAATCAGTCCTCATGAATACTTGTCGTATGTTACTGAGCGCATCGACTTCCTGAAGCAGAAAGTTTACGCATAGGCAAACCGTATTAGACCATATGAAAAACGAATGGAGCGCTATACTCAGAGTCACATGTTCCAAAGAGACCAGAGGTTGGTATACAGAAATTGGGAACGATCCAACTAAGATGTGGCTGACGGGCGGCGACCTGATGATGATGCCACTAACACATTTTGGCGCAACATCTGGTTGGTGCATGGAGGACACGGAGAGCGACTGGATGTGTGATGTTGAAGGAAGGTGTGAGACTATACCAGAGGTGAAGGTGGTAGTAATTACCTCCTCTGATATAGCCAGTGCAGCCTGTTTGGTCCCAAATTGGAAATCACCAGGGCCGGACAGACTGCACATCTTCTGGATTAAATAGTTCAAGAGTTCACACGTTCACTGAGCATTACACTTTCAGGCAGCTTTAGAATTTGGGTCTTTACCACAATTTCTGACATCAGCAGTTACCCACCTGCTCCATATATCAGGTAGTTCCAGTGAGCCCAAAAATTATATTTGCATAGGCATAATCAAGTAGCCAAGATTATCCATCGGCAACTTGCTTTGCACTATCGACTTATTGAGTCCCAGATACCGTACTACAAGTATGTGCCTGATCCAGTTCTGGAAAATGACCATATCACATTGTACTGGGACCGGTTTATCATCTCATCACTGACAGGACTATTGTAGCAAATAAACCTGACATAGTGATGATAGACCGACAAGTGCGCCGCACGATGATAATCGATGTCGCCATTCCTCATGACGAGAACCTCGTGAAAGCTGAGATAGATAAACAAACAAAAAATCTATAATGTGCCGATAGTCGTGTCGGCCAATGGATTAGTCCCTCGACATTCATCTTAGGTGGCTGGCATTAAGTGGATGGATCAAGGGCCTGATACAGAAGGCCTTTGAGCTTTGAAACGGCACGTATCGTGAGGAGGTTTCTGTCTCTGGAGCCTTAAACCACCAGTAGCTTAGACCATGATCCCGCTACTGGTCGGCTCCTATTTGTATATTTTTAAATATTATTTTTTATTTTGGAGGTAGTATTTAAATGTAATTTGAGAGAATTTTAAATAAATATATGGAATAATAATAATAACCTTCACTTGGTTGACACCCATGGAAGACATTAAAACCGGCCTTATGGCTGAGAAAGAGAATAATCTCTTAAAATAATAATAGTAAATAATTTATTTTCTCAACATCAACTCACAATGAAGATACGTCAAACAATGACACAATAAACTTGAGACTGGTGTCGGTAGTAGGTAAAACCTGTATCACCAGGCCGTCAACCCTTCGTCGCAGTGCATCACTTACTATATTGAATGGGATATTTAAGAAATAATAATAAAACTGCTTACTATAAGATAATTAATATTGATACGTACATAAACCCTACGGTTTAGGTGGTACTATTACAATTTTAAGGTACAGTTGAGATCAATTAATTATTACATGATCCAGTTTGTATTATATAAGGTTAAATTGAAATAAACTAACATTTAACATATTTCTGTTTATAACTAAAATAACAATAACGTTAGCAGTTAAAAATTAAATTTAAAAATTAACTTAATGTTTGAAACTAAATATGAAAGAAACTAAGAAGGCAAGAAGTATAATTAAAAAGTAGGAGTTCGAAAGAAGTATAATTAAAAATTATACTTCTTTATTATGTATATATAAAAGTTAAATGTTAAAATGATAACAATTGAAAACTATGAGCTATAAACAATAGATTCACTCAAATAAAATATTACTGAAATAAAGAAATCTTTGGTTAGACTATGTGCTGAATGTAGCAGGTGGATGGGAGCACGAAGCGTGTTCGGTAACTATGGATGCGTATGAATGGTTGTGTTCTGGATAACATAGATATAAATGAACATAAAAAATATATAAATACGTATGTGTGCTCCCTAATAACTGAACTATGTACGTACTTATTTATTTTATAGGTTTAATTAGGCATTCGGTTGATTCATAATTAACATTTTGAAGTCATGTTTTTTAATATTTTCTTGCATTGCACTTTATTAAGATGATATATTACTACTACTAAAATTTTTATTGTAAAATGAAACCGTAAATTTGTTGTGTCAGACTTGTTCTACATCTAATTACATACTTTGCAAACCGTAGCGTTTCTTTTACTTTGTATTTGGATCATACGTTAATTCTGAGTTTTTTTTAGTAGGTAGGTACTGTAAAGTAGGTACAGAATGAACTGTGCAAAACTGTTAACACCGCACAGTGTTGATATAATTTAGATGTAGGTGTAGGATGACGTACGGGTATAAACTTAATAATTATGTTAAATGGATTGGATATGTTATACGGAAAATGATGCTAGCTAAGGAGGAGGCGGGGTGCGTGAGGGAACCAACCTCCTCACGCCCCAGCCGTCACGAGAGACACCCTGGGCGTCGGGAATCGCGAAAAGATCTCCGGCCACCGTAAGCACGGGCCTGCGGACGGCGAGCACGTATACCTCGCCGCCCATCCAGAACCAAGATCGAGCGTACGGCACGTCGCGTTCCGCGCGCACCTCAAGGAGCCATCAGACCACCACAGATGGGGCCGAACAGGGCTGATGCCGATACGGAACCGCAGAAGACTTAACGGTTTACCGGCGCTCCGGCTCGAAGGAGTAAGAACGGAGTGGTTTTTAGTCAGTAAGAGTCTGACACTCCCTCTCGCCCTGATCCGGGCGGGAGAAGTCATTGTATTATTTTGCCCACTTAAAAAAAAGCTGGTGGTCTGTATCAGAAAGGTATTATGATAAATTTTTAGAACAAGAAAGTAATGAATCTGTAGATTTTGATTCTTCTTCTCGGCTTGATATTTGTGCAATATGTAGTATATTGCACAAATATCACATCACACCTTCGTTTTGTTGTTATTAGTAGAGAAAGACTTATATCCGTCTCTAATAGGTATAATGGAATTACGTGTCAGCCAACACTCGTGTCAATACAATGATATCTCAATCAATACCCGATTTAGTCAACAACGTCTCGAAACTTTGTAGACTACGTATGTATATATATATTTTGTATATTATTTTGTGGAGTTTTGTGTAATTACAATTACATGAGACTAAACTTGCTGTTGAAACAATTGTCGAAATTGTCCTTCTCTTTTATTTGAGTTCAATAATAATAATTAAACGAAATTTTTCGAATTTAAAAGCTCACCAGTCACAATGCCTTTTTAGTTTTTTATGAAGTTAATTTGAATTTGCGTATAATTTTTTTACTTTCGTCCACATAAGTTTAAAATGATAAATTTTATCACACTTTGACTTAACACTCATATTGTTATAGTTCCTTACGTGATTTAGACTATTTAAACTTGTGAAAACTATTCCTCAAAAATAAAATTTGCAGAGCACTTGAAAACGCGTCTTCACTCGGCGGGAGAAGCTAAGTTGCTAAGGACTGGGTTAAGTAACCATTGAATGATTTGCCACGGTGGCAAGGCTGGACTATATAAGGTGTTAATAAATTCGCTCTAAATATTTTATGAGGTTGGTGGGAATCAATAAACTGACACGTTTAGCAAAAAAAATTAACAATTTTAACAACTTTTATTTTTAACAAAAATAAAGGAGTTGGTTAAACGTTTTTGTGCAAACCGTACGTGGGGCTGCGCTTGCGGCCCGAGCGAAGCAATGGCGCGCCGTCACCGTCCCCATGTTATCGCAATCTCTCTCTCTTTCTCCCTCTCTCCCGTTCGCTAGTTGCCCCGCTCTCTTTCCCACTTCTCTCTCTCTCGATCGCCAGTTGACCGATAGCTGTCGCGCGGGAAGGGTGTGGCCCTCAGTGTCGTTCAGTGTTGTGTCCGATCAATCGCACGCGCCATTTTTTATTGTTTGTTGTTCAATATTCAATAATGCAGTTTACGCATAGTAACCGCAAGTACTTAGACATGTTAATGTGGTACATTAGAAGTGGCGAAAATGTATCTGCAGCTCGTCAGTGGTAGTGAGATTAGAAAAGAAACGCGGACGAATTAAAAATAAGCATAATAAACGCGTTTGATATTATTAAAAGTGACAGAGACACATTATTGCGAGTGAAAAACAACGTAATACGTCGCGTCGTACAAACTTGTGCATCGAACAAAGTGGAAGATACTTCCAAGTTCCAGCATTTTCTGTAAATAAGGTAGACTCTTTGTTAATACTTAGGTATCTAGAGACGGGCATTTATTCCGATGAATACTTGTAAATGATAAATACCTAAGTAACTACCAACCTACCACCTAGTACTAGTACTACTAACTACCGAAGTATTGGTTTTTGGTTGAGTTATTATTAGTATTTACCTATTCAAAAAATTGACATAATTAATCATTGTATCTATGCTATTTTAATTATAAGCATATCAATTCAGTTAAATAACATAATCTAAACAGAGTCGTGTGGTCGTTTATTAAAATGAAACATTATTAAGTTCAGTAGTAACATAAGCGCGCGGTACCACGACACCTGCGTCAGCGCGGTCGCTCGGGGCTTCGTCGACGGCTTAGTACGCCGTACGGCGCGCATATTAGGCTGTTTACGTGTAACACAAATAGTGGAATAACTTTAGAATGGTAGCTTTTTTTTAAATTATTTTTTCGTGATTAATTATGGAATAAATGTTACAACAAAACCTTAGATTTCCTAGAGTTAATTTATTAACACCTTATATATACTGCGGTCTCTGAGCGTCAGATATTACACTGACGACACGCGGTAGACAATTCAAGGTTACCTAAAGTTTGCACTCAGTATTTTGTTTTTCTAGGTGCTTCAACTGTAGGTGGTGCCTTTACACCAGCAATATTGCAACAAATGGCAAAAAATACTGAAAGACCACAAATATTTGCTCTCTCAAATCCAACGGTAAAAGCTGAGTGTACTCCACAGCAAGCTTACGATAACACAGAGGTAATATAGAAAACACTTTGTAAGTAAATCTCACCTCAAATTACAACGTCGTAAATATGGTTATCAAATAAAATAGATTGCCATTCTTTGAATTTGGATGAAGACAGGTTTCTATTTACATTATATCTAATCAAGGTCACTTGATTAGACACTACTTTTCAAGTGTGGGAGAGCTAGAGATACCACAGCCTCACAGAAAACCATAGTGAAATAACGCTTGCGTTGTGTTTTGTCGTGTGAGTGAGGTTACCGCAGGCCCAATTTGGAACAGTCAGTGAGAAAGCGACTTAATTTTACGCTATGCAGTGATGATGATTGTTTGTTTTAGGGTCGATGCATTTACGCATCAGGTTCTCCTTTCCCGCCAACAAAATATGGGGGTAAGACGTACTATACAGGTCAAGGTAACAACTCCTACGTATTCCCCGGAATAGCATTGGGAGTAATCATTTGCCACGCCCGTCATGTACCTGACTCCATGTTTCTATCTGCGGCAAAGGTAATATACCACTACTTATTAGATTTCTTCTTGGTTATAATATTGGTACGTACTGTTTGAGTTCCATTCCATGCTATTGTGTAACTTAACCAAAGAAGTTATAGTATATAAGTATATTTATAAGTTATATAGTTCATACCCTATCTGTTACAGGTTGACAAGTGGTCACTGCCATAGGCTCCTTCCGGAGCGGTTTGACGCCGCAGCATCTGAAAGATCTGACGAGCTCAAGCGCCGGGGAGTCCGGCGTGACGCTGCCGAAGGAGCTTACGGTTTTGATCAATTTCATGCTCTCCGGCAATGTGCACGAATCCGTCATCGACATTTTGTACGGGGCCAATCTATGTGTTCTACGCAAGAAGGATGGCGGTATTCGTCCCATTGCCGTGGGAACAACTTATCGTCGCATGGTAGCCAAGATTTGTTGCAAATTTTATAGTAATCATCTTTCGGAAAAATTCCAGCCCCCTTCAACTCGGGTATAGGGGTATAAGGGGCTGCGAGGCTGCCGTGCTTGCGTTGTCGACCTACCTGAATTTTAGGAAAGGAGATGTCATTCTGAAGGTTGACATAAAGAATGTTTTTAATTCGGTCAATAGAGATACTTTGTTGACAGAAGTTAAAAAGAAAGTACCTCATCAGTTTTCGCTGACAATGTTATAGACACCCTACCAAATTATTATATCAGGACAACCTTTTGGAATCTGCCGCTAGTTGTCAACAAGGCGATGCTCTTGGGCCAATGATTTTTAGCCTGGCCATTAGTCCTATTATTCCACAGCTAAATTCTAAATTTAATGTTTGGTACCTCAATGACCTTGGGAAGCGATGCAGATACAGTTCATATTTTAAAAAAAAGACTTCGTATTTTTAAAAACTTCATGCTATTGGCCTTAACCTAAATTATTCCAAATATGACATATTTTTAGTTGACTCTACCGACAGATAGATCATATCAAAATTTAATACTGTGGCCCCTAATATCATGGTTGTCGATAAATGTTCACTTCGCCTTCTAGGTGCGCCCATTTTCGAGGACTCTTTTCCTTTTCCAAAAATTCAAAATTTTTCTGTCGTTTCAAAAATATTGTATCACATAGGATGCATTCGACCTCCACTATTATTCAATTTTGTTGTTTTGATTCCAAAGGGCATTGACTTAAATTGGTGCCTTTCTTTTTTCTGGCGGCAGTCGATGATTTATGGAAAATATTATCTAGAATGACATTACAAACGAAATTGTCTATGGGCTCATATAAGGAAATCTCAGTCTGAACTGAGTTATGAGCGTTGAAAGGAGCTGGAGCCAAACATTTTACTTTGGTTTTTTTATTCAAATTATTCCTATTTTTGTCACAATTCCTAACTTTAAATTGCACGCCACTGTACGCCGGGCACAGGAACACCATATCACATCACAATATATCCATATTGCCAGGCACTAATTTTTATTAGCTATTTACTCTCAGTCGATAACTTGTGGGATGCTTCTAGGAGTTGTGTCATGAAGCTTCATGAGCGTCAGTTGTCGTACCAGTGGTGGGTTGAGTAGTGGTAGCCGTCCAAACATCAAAATATTTTTTTTTTGCCGTTGACTCCTGATGGAAGACTTATCTAATTTATAGTCAGCATAATCTTTTGAAGAAAGGAAACCGTTAACTTTGTATAGCCCATCAGGCTATACGTCAGATGAGCGAATAATTTTTCCATATAATGTGATCAGCCGAAATATAATCCATCACTTTGTGACTGAATGACGATATCTTTGTACAGAATCTTATGCTAGCTGTCGATAAAAGTATTAACTGTAGTTAGATTAGTTACTAATCCGGAGTAAGTCGGAAGAAGTAGACAGAAAAATGATTTTTTAGTTTTGACGACTGCCACTACTCAATCCTCTACTGACGCTGCAGCTGACAAACATAGCATTTCATGATAGGACTCAGTGAAGTGTTTTGCAGGTTTTCGACTGAGAGAAAATTGATCATGAAAATCTGTCGTAAGCAATAAACCGTATAGTTACATATAAAGTGAACACGCTAGCCAATCAAGTGAAATGTTTTTTTTTACTTCAGCAGTGGCCAGTTAATGGTTCACTCTGTTCTGAGTCCGTGGCTTTATAACAAAAAAAAAAAAAATAAAGAAGAAAAATAATTTAAAAAGTCCACAATAAGCTTTATTATATTCCTTGAAATCGTTAATAAACATTTATTACAAAATATTTCTGACAAGTAAATGAAGAAATATGCGTTGTGTACGGTCATCATCAACAAAATAACAGGAATAGTATAGCACTATTTTCACATCTTTGAACTGATTTAACTCGGCTTGGACTGCGTTTTTGATATAAGACCCCATATATTTTTGTTTGTAATGTTATTCTGCATCAGTTTATCCACATCCGATCAACTGCCGCGAAAAAACGAAAAGGCACCACGCTCCATACAAATTTGGTCATTGTCATTTGTGTACTATCTGCGCTCGACCCACCACTGGTCAGCACGCTTTCTTTTGAAAAAAAAAGTACCAAGTCATTAGACGAACTTTGTCCCTAATTTTAAACGTGGCTTTCGACGACCGAGCTTGGGCACAAGTTACTCTGCCTGTCCGCAAGGGATTGGCGTCCGTAAAAATTTTTAGTGTAAGCCTACCGAATTTCATATCTTCCGCCCATGGTACTGAAGAATTAACCACGAAAATTATTTCTTAATTCACTGGTTAATTTTGATGTACCATCTTTTAGTACCGGGTTGCCGGGGCTCCGGCTCGAAGTGCAGGAGTAGGAACGGGGTGGTTTTTAGTCAGTAACAGTCTGACACTCCCTCTCGCCTCACCCGGTCGGGAGAAGTCGATGATTTACACCGACCAAAAAAAAAAAAAACAAAAAATGCCTATGCGTACGTTTACCGCTCGCGCCGCCATATTTTTTACAAAATTCTTTTTCTGTGCATTTTACGAGACAAATATTACCTAGAAAATTAAACTTCTCACAATCTTTTGCAATTTATTTATTTTTTTATTATTAATTACATATTAAGTTTATGTATATATTGGTATGTAGTTTATGTACGTTCAACATCCTCGTTTTTCAACAGATAGGTACAAAATTGTTTAGAACCTACTGTATGGTTATGCTATGGTTGGCTGGTAGAGAATGCCGTCCGGCATTAAGCCTGCCATTGTATAAACATTTGTGTAAGAAGAGTTAAACATATTTTTTTCTAAAATAAATAGTTTTAGCACCAGAGCACAAAGTACATTTTTATTTGCATATTGGAAAAGAATCTACGCCATGTAAAAGTAGAGCAAGTGACGCGTTTTTTTTATAGGTTGTTTATTCCTTTATAGAAAGAAAGAAGAAATCAAAATATTTATGTACTCTTGGGTACCATTGGAGACTTCACAAAGTCATTTATTTTAATTAGACCAAGAAGGCACTTTTGAACGTCAAAACAAAATATTGATATATTAAAAAAAAATCAGTCTCTCGTTCTGTTCCATAGTGTAGATTCCTATGGAAAAGAACGAGGTATTTTCACGTGGTGTGGATATTGATAGTGATTATTTTTTTCCCCGAAAATTCAATAAAAATGTACTTTGCGGTGCTCTGGTACCAAAACTATTTATACCTATTACGGAAAAGCTGTCTAGACAAATATTATGGGAAATTGTGGGTAGTTTAATTTTGTATCCAACGTAACGTTTCTCTAGTAAAATGCACATGAAAAAAGATATTGCTAAAAACCGTTATATTTCCAAGACGAAGGCGCAAGCGGCGCATATACGGGGGTGCAAAATGGAAATCTACAAAATTACCAATTTTCAAATTTCCTGGAAACCTTTCCAGGTAAAAGAGCTTAGGGTACCGAAGTATTTTCTGCTCATAATATTTAATCCCTTAATTTAGTAGTAAAAATCGGAGAGTGCTATGAAAACTGTTTGTTATGAAAGACAAGCTTCTATTATTTTTGTGTTTTCCAGACTTTAGCGCTTTGTGTCACTGAAAAAGATTTGAATCTCGGACGAATTTATCCACATCTCAATGAAGTTCGAAATATATCCAATAAAATAGCAGCTTCTATCATTAACCGTGCTTACGATGAGAGTATGTGTCAATTGTGTTTGGTATTTTGTTATTTTTGATATTTATGAGGGTCAAACTGAAAGTTCTTAGAAAATCAAAAACAAAGTAAACAAGCAAGTTATTTGTTTTATTACATCTTTTCACAATAGTGTCCGTACACATCAATACATCGTTGCATCCGATGTAACCACTGACAAAAGCAATTTGCCCAGTCGGCTTGAGAGGTCTCTTCGATGACCTTTTGAAATGCAGCCACTGCTTCATCGAGATCCAGAAAACGTTTTCCACGAGGATTTTCTTTTATTTTCGGGATTAAATAAAAATCACAGGGTGCGAGGTCAGGGCTATATGGCGGGTGACCCAGTACCTAATTTCACATCTGAGGTCGCCAAATCAAGTCAATTGTTCGGCGGCGTGCGACGAGGCATTGTCATGATGAAAGAGAATCCAGCTGCGAGGCCGTTTTTTAGAAATTTAAATTTACTATTTTAATACAATGATTTTAAGTGGCCAATTCTAGAAACTTTCAGTTTCGCCCCCGTAACTCGTAAGCGCAACGGAGGTAGTAACCACGGAATATAGAATACAATGGAAGTAGCTTGAAACAATATTTCTGCCAGAACCGGTGTCGCCAAACTAATACATTTATAATTTACTCATACTATAAAGTGGAAGTTACGATTGGTTAGAAAAAAAAAATGGGCGTAAACGAAATGCAAACAAAATATCATACGATATGCAACTTTAAAATCACTGCACTATAAATCAAAATTAAAAATTATATTTTGGACTACCAAGTACCGCTATTCGTCGCTAGATGGCGTTTAACAATGCCATCTAGCGACGAAAAGTGGTACTTGGTTTGAACTTTAACGTCGTAAGAATAAAGGTGATATTTGAATAGCTTATCACTGGCTCGAATGCGGGTCTCTACTCAGATAGTGATGTAGCCTAATTCGATAAAAATAATATCGATAATATGAAAATGTGTTTTAAATATAATGTGAAAAAAAATATTGACTGCGATAGTGTGACAGTATTAAAATAATAAAATTAATATGTCGTTGATAACTTTTTAAACGTAACAAAAAAGGGTAAGTATTTATTTGCATGTAAATCAAAAACCATTTTGTTCGTATTTTTTATTAGTTTTTTCAAAAAATCATTTTTTTTTTATTTCACATAGGCAATATAAGTAACAACTATTACATCAATTTTTACAAACTTTATATTGATAATGTGATAAATGAGAGGGATGGCGATAAGGATGACGGTGCTGATCTGCTCCGTGAAGTGAAGGTTGCTTCCAATCACGTCGGGGTCACCACTATAATATCATAATAAAAAAATAATCTAAATAAATGTTACATTACACTTGCATCGATATTAATCGATAAATATGTAATTTGACCACATCACTATTTGAGTAGCGTAGAACTGGCGAGAATGTTCTATTGAATGGAATAAATCCAAAATAAACTTTATCTTGAAGGCGTAAGGTTGATTTTGACTAACCGTTTTAGTAAATAATATTATTTTAATAACCGTTTTTGTTAATTGACATAAAATAAGATTTTAACAAGAAAACAATGAAAATTGTACTTACCGATGATACGAAACACCTCCATTTTTACGATTTTTCGGCTGCTATAATTTTTACACGCCAAAACGGAACAAGTTTGCCTCGAGTAAGCAGTACACAGCTTAGTTGTGGCACGCATGCCACGCCTACTTGCTACTTCCATTGTATTCTATATTCCGTGGTAGTAACAGTGATTCTACAATTCTCAGTTGCATGTTTGTTTTGTCATAGAACTTGCTGGAATGTACCCTAAACCAAAAGATGTGGATTGTTTAGTCCAACAGTATTTGTACAACACAAAATACATTAATTACATGCCAGATTGTTACAATTATCCAGGCAGCGACTCTGGAATAAAAGTCAAGACGATAGAAGAAATGATAGCTAAGTCGTGAGTTACATTAATATTTTTATAATAACTATCGTGAGACATACAAAATTACCTAAAATACGTGGATTACTCGCGTGAATAGAAAATAGAAAAGCTCTACTAGTTTCGAACCTTAGAGGGGTTCTTCCTCATAAGCAGCGTGTGCGGTCGCGGTGATTGTATCGATTTTTTATGCCATTTGCTTCAAGTTTTTTGTTTTTTTTTTCCATCGGTTAGGCCGGTAAACGAGCAGACGGATCACTTGATGGTAAGCAATCGGTTCCGCCCATGGACACCTGGAAAACCAGAGGCGTTACAAGTGCGTTACTGGCCATTTGGGTATTAGGAGTTTGAGGATTGTTGTGGATTCAGGGATTGGGGAAGGGATGGGGGGGGGGGGATTGAGCTTCCTGTAATCTCACTCACACGACGAAACACAACACAAGCGTTGCTTCACGTCGGTTTTTTGTGAGACCCTGGTATCACTCCGGTCGAGCCGGCCCATTCGAGCCGAAGTGTGGCTCTTCCACACTTACAATTTGTCCACTAATATACCATGGTGCACATAATCAAAAGCCTATGACGTGTCATAATATATTGAGAATGCATATAGCATATAAGAGATGATTTTTCTTCATGAGGCGATATATTAGTTTTGAATTCATAAATTGCTATATTTATAGGCTTGTTTTTTCGAAAATCTTTTTGTTCATTGCAGAGAATATAATTTTTTTCAAAATATGTCTTGATTCACTGTAAGAACTGCAGGGCAACCTATTACTTTGTGCTAAACTTCTTCAACGTCATAATTTTGGTATAGAGTCAAAAATCGCAGTATCCACTAGATTTCCTACTTAATTATCCAATATACCTATCTATTAGGACGATTATTATTACTACACCACCAATTTATATTTTGTTATAAGTATTATATTTTGTTTCAGTACGAAGAAAACCGGTTCGAATAAAGGTTGTAAGAAATAAATAAATGAAACTGAAACATCAATAGGACTTGTTCTTTATTCTTTAGAAATTATTCAGGTTAAAAATATAATATTGCTTATGTACATCATCAAAATATTAGCTACAAGACGGTCAGGACTGAACATAGGCCTCCCCCAATGACTTCTAGATAGGCCCGTTGGAAGCAACCTACATTTAGACATCCTACATTGAATTTGCTATGCCGTAAACTCTTCATCATCGTCGTAAAACATCCATAGCGAAACAAAAATGTTCTAGAACGGACCAAAATTTCCACGCTTGCCTTGGCGGCTTGGGGATCGCAAGTTGATCACCGAAATTTTTTCGATTGTTCGTCGCAGTTTTAGGACATATCTCGTCCATAGCAATTAATATTTTCAAATATTTTTTTTTCAGACGTTGAGTATAAAACGTGCTTCTACTTTTTCTCTTTAAACAGTTGTCTGTTTACCACGAAGATTTTATATGGTATATAGTAACTATTATTAATTTTTTGCTGTTTTAAAAGGATCTAATCAAGATAATATTGTTCTAGTGAACTTTATTGATGATATTTTATTTTATTGATTTATTACGTTATCTTCGTCTTTGTTTATTTACAATGGGAATCCATGTTTTATTATTTTTTAAGGTTAAATAAAAATATTGTTTGTTTATATCACTTATTTTTGGAAAATAAATATTTTTTTGTTTTATCTTAGTTTTACTATGAATTAAGAAATAAATTATATTTTCTCTTGTTCAAGTTTGACACGGTCATAATCATGGGCAGCATTGGGCGAAAAACAATGCGTCGAACGTCGATGATTTTATTATAAAAATGGTAGATTTATTCCATAATTCACTAAGTAAGTTTATACTTATTTGGTTTAGAGACATCTCTTAAGACCGAACACGATCGCTACGTAATCAATTTAAATCCACAGATTTTGGATTGAGTAAAAATTAATTAGGGGCCGGTAAGACAGCGCTTTCAAAAAAAAATTGTGTATTTGGCGCCCTTCTAGTGTTTGTGTGTAAGGTCTCTGACTCGAATTTTGCGGGCAGCGCGACGGCGGCTCGGGCGGTGATGCGGAGGCAGCGGCGCGGGGGCAGCGGCGCGGGGGCAGAGGCGCGGGGGCAGCGGCGCGGGAGCAGCAGCATCTTATTCGTAAATTCTCGAAAACGGCGACGGGGCAGCGGCGCGGGGGCGGGTACAGAGCGGTGCAAATAATTCGAGGCTGAGGCCTAATTAGTACCGATACCACCTACCTAATAAAATTTTGATTTTCTATTTTTTTATCTGTTACTTAACGAGTTCGGTGGCTCCTCAATTCAAACTTTTAGATTGAGGAGCCATGTTTGCATTAAAATAACTAGGTAGTGATATATTTTGCTGCTATATCTAGAATTCGATTTTTTTATGGCATACATAAGCCGGTAAACGAGCAGACGAATCACCTGATCGTAAGCAATCGGCGTCGCCCATGGACACCTGGAACACCAGAGGCGTTACAAGTGCGTCACCGGCTTTTTGGGGATTAGGAGTATCGGTAAATGCTATTTACCGGGCACAATTCCAGACTCCGTGCTACTACTGAGAATTTTTTTGAAACCCAGTAATACTTTGTCCGACTCGGGAATCGAACCCGAGACCCCTTGTCTGGCAGTCGCACTTGCGGCCACTCGGCCAACGAGGCAATCTGAGATAGATGAGTATATTAATAACATTTAAGAGTAATGTATTAAAATATATTTGAGTAAATAAATAAAGAATACGTTTTACTTACCCAGGGATAAATCGACACGAGAGGACTTTATAAAAACTTTTTCAAAATAAAACAAAGTGATATTATTTATTACGAGTCTATTATTATAATATGGGTACCTAACCTAAATATACACACCTCACAAATACAATATATTAAAAGATAAGAATATAATACCTCATAAATACAAGAGAAGAGTTCCCTGAAAATACTAGACTAGGCAGTTTTTCTAAGTATTGTCTTTAAAAAAAGATACCTATTAATCATTAGAAACACGCCCAATGTTAAGTTTTATTGCTTGCAATCGAATCTTTTGTCAACTCACTTCGGGATAAGACACAGATATAAAATGGAGCCCACCGCCAGTTAAAGTACGTCAGTTTAGATTAGCTCGCATAATGAATAATTCAGTCAGTTTTTGTGGGTATATGTGGCATAGTAAGCAATGGACGTGCATATTACGCATACGTGCATATAACGGAGGTAGTTGTAAAAAAATGCTCAAACCTTCTCCGTGCGAGAAGAGGCTTTGCTCAGCAGTGGCCACTTATAGGCTGTTGATGTGTGGTATTGACCCGTCATCAGGAAATTTCTATTAGGTACTAAATTTGACCCAAACAAGAAATAAACGGAGCGAGATATTTATCTTGTATTTGGGTTTATTTAAAACCATTTTACAAACTTGCTTAACTCTGCGAATTAAACTGTCAAACACCGCGAGGACACCGGTGACCGCAACCTATTATTCTTTAATTGTGTCTATAATGACGGTACTCAACGAGTTAACCTGAACTATGTGCTTATAGCGCGTGCGGCGGTAGACGTTCGCAATATGAGCAAGAAGATTTCAAATCATTCACGTAGTGTCAATATAATCCCGCACTTGCTTTATTGTCGATTTATTTTTCGCCTTACTGTAAGCAATGGAAAAATTACAAAATTAAGCATTGACAACTTTTATTTGATACAAATATGTCTGTAATCAGTAATGTATGATGTATGGCCATGACAACTTGGCTAAGTAAACATATAGTTATAAACAGCAGCACATCAAGATACTCTGCACTAATAAACTTTTTCAATTGATTTTAAACTCTATTATATGGTGATAACACATTAGAAAACTACTTACAATGCTGCTATCATGTCACGCATTGTTTTCACTTTTATCCCACTTCCGTCTTCAGGATATTTGTATATGTCTGGCAAGTAGCTCGAATACTTTGTGTCATACACATTATCTTTAACAAATTGAGGCAAATCTTTTGGTTTAGGATATTTGCCGGCAAGATCTATAGAAAAAGAATCCGTTATCATTAAGTGGTATAAAGTGAAAAATTATGATCATCCAAAGGACGCAATATCTTGGTAAAACAAATAGCTCACGTACTTCCAAAAATATTTAGATCTGTATGAGTATTTGTATTTGTACGTTCTATTTAACATGAAAAACTATCTTTATATTAAAACTTTCGTGAAACATACTAAATTAATTAACATGTTTTCGGCATACGTAGCTGTTTGACGACTGGACTAGTTTCAAGCCATGCTTGAAGCTTATATGGATGAATAGCATTCCGCAACACGCGACGCGGCGCGCTGTTCTGCCGCTAGTGCGGCTCTCGAGTAGCCAGTAGCACCGCGACAGTCGAATTCAAAGTCAAACAGTTACATGAGTAAGCCAAAAACATAATAATTAATGAAAAACTATCATTAACTTCAGAGGGCTTAGTACAAGTTTCGTTTTCATTTAAAGTAATCGAAACGAAACCTCGTCCGACGCTCTGATTGGTTGGTTAATTGGAGTCGGCCAATCACAGCGCCGAACGCGTACTCGTTTCGTATTACTTTCAACGTAAAACAAACTCGTACTAAGGCCTCAGATTGGTGTATGCTGTGTACGAATACGACATAAATAAAAAAAAAAAAACAACAGACATACTCAAACAGTAGGCGCGTTCAATGATTACTTCTGCGATTTTACATGATAAGTCCCGTATATTATTGAGTGGTGGATAAATTCGTCCAACATCTAAATCTTCTTGAGAAACGTTACTAGCTAAAGTCTGAAAATCAATTTAAACGTTAAAGCATTCCTAAAATGTTTTTAACCGACTTCAAAAATGAAAGAGATTCACAGTTTGACCTAATGTACGAATGTTTGTGCGCGATTATCTCACGAATGGGTGGTCCGACTTTGATGCGATTTTCAGAAGAGTTATACTTACTTAGGAGAAGGTTTAGTATATTAATAAACCGACTTCAAAAAAGAGGCGGGTTGAATCATTTTTTTAAATGTAGCTTATAAAAAAAATATTTTTAATTGGACTTTACCTCGGCAGCAGTCAAAAACATGGTATCAGGTACATGATGTGAGTAGCAAAGGAGCGTTCCCAACGCTACTCCCGGGAATATGTAGGAGTTGTTACCTTGTCCTGTGACAAATTGCTTCTTCTCATAATTCACAGGCGGGAAAGGAGAGCCTGATGCATAAATACACCGACCCTAAAATGCCAATAAATATCGAATGACAAAACATATATTTTTTTTATACTTGATGTGGCGACGTTTGACTACTATCTCGCCTGGTGGTAAGCGATGATGCGGCAACCTATTCACTCGGGCCTTGAAGACTCCTTATATGTTGATAAGTATACGTAAAAAAGACTTTCAGACAAAACTTATTCTTATTATTATTTATACTCATTAATGCTCATGCTAATCACGAAGAATTAATATAGATTTTCCTAAATTACCTAACGGTTTTACCTTTGTGTGTTCATAAGCCTGCTGTGGAGTACACTCAGCATTTGACGTTGGATTCGAGAGAGCATAGATTTGTGGTCGTTCAGCATTTCTTGCCATCTGTTGTAATATCGCAGGTGTAAAGGCACCACCCACTGTTGATACACCTAAAATAGTATGAATTAATGCAGAACTTTTTTACAAGGATTGTCATGTTGAGGATCTAATTATATTTTGTTTCAAGTAAACACATAAAAACGTGTGTGTAGTAATTATTTGATTGCTTACCAATAAGACAGGTTGGCTTCATAGTCTTCACAAAGCCCTCGAAATCGTGCGTTGGTTCCATATCCCTTCCATATTTAGTAGCGTGAGATGGTACCCCACCTTGGCGTTTTATAGAAAGTAGACCATCAACATCGAACATGTAAATTTTCTTTATAGCGTTCTGTCTGGAAACGCCATCTTCTACCATGGCATCACATATTAAGTTTGCTATACCAACACCTGCCTGAAAGCCTCAAATAAAATAAGTTGTTGGTCTTTTGAAGTCAAAATTCAAAGTAAACAATAGCTATGAAGCTTACAGAGCCAGCTCCGAGGAACAAAAAAATATTGTCTTGTAACTTTTTCTTAGTAATTCTGCAAGCTGCCAACATTCCAGCTACAATGACACTAGCAGTACCTTGTATGTCGTCATTGAAAGTGCAATATGAAGTCTTGTATTGGTCTAGAAGTCGGCCAGCGTTGTGAAGAGCAAAGTCTTCGAACTGAGAAATAATCAAATGGGTAGTTTCCAGGGTATCAAAATTAAAAATATTCAGTCAGTTAGATGATGAAAAAATATTAGACACGTTTTTATTTTTTCGTATTAAGTTGCAATACTTAGATAAAATGGCGCTTAGTTTAGGAGTTGGAGGTTGTTACGTCATAGCGTGCGACAAAATGTGGCAGGTTGTGACGTCACACGATATTTCAAATTAATATATCGTCGAAAGTATTTAATTTTGTGAGAAAAGAAAAAATATGTGTCTAAAGTTTTAAATTAATGTACGTACGTACAGACGGACATTAAAATTAAATTTAGGTATCTACCCTATTGTGCTTAGATTATAATTATCTTCAACACAATCACTCACGAGTTCCAGCGTGCAATGTCATATTATACACTTATCCGATGAACCGCTGTACAAGTATTTAAACCTTGACTCTATCTGTCTGGAAGTAACTTGTTGTCTCCTGCGTACTTTGTGTCTCAGGGCTCATACAAAAAATTGCGATGCGATTCGATGCGAATTCGCAACGCAGAAAATTACAACACAAATTGCTGCTATGCGTTTACCTGCGGTAAGGCGTCTCCCAGGGTGACCATTCTTTCGACGGCCGTGAACCGTACTAAACGTATTTTAAATTGAAAACTAGATCATGACATGGATCGTAAAAAGTGTGCACTTTTGTTATCGCTTAGGAGATACAGGAAAATAGAAAAAACAGAAAATACAGAAGATTTGGGACGATAAGATTTTGATGCGCGATGCAAATCAATTCGCAAGTTCTCGTGATGCGTAGAGGGAGTTCGCACATTTTTGCGATGCGAAGTCTCGTCGCAGTTTTGTATCTAAGCCTTTACTCGGGTGTAGGATTATTTCTTATGTTATGAAAGGTACACTTCAATACCGTAAACAAATCCTTACTATATCCTTACTATATAATATTATAAATGGAAAAGTGAGTTTGTTTGTTTGTTTGTTTGTTTGTTCCACTTTCACGCCGTAACTACTAAACCGATTGCTTTGAAATTTTGCATACGTAAAGTTAGAAGTCTGGATTAAATAATAGGGTACTTTTTATCCCGGAAAAATGTATATTATCGAGGGAAAACGAAATTATTGGTATAGATGGCGCTGTGTATTGGTATATGTCACATAGGCTACTCTTTATCCTTTTGTGACGCGAGCGAAGCCGCGGGTAAAAGCTAGTAATAAATATTTTGACATAAGTACTTGTATCAGCACATTCTGTGAATACACGCGCGTGCACGCTTCCATAAACTCTTGAATAAATTCGTCATATTGTTTACCAGTAACTCGTTTCCTTCGTAAACCTATGTACAACGGGTCTTCTAGAAGCAGCTGAAAATTAAAAAAGAAATTGTGGAAATTGGAGAGCTTTCACACAGATGATATAAACCTATAATATCAACCTACTCCAATCTGTTAAATTCATTCATTGGATTTTCGACTATATTTCAATACTATAAAGTTGAATATGTTAACCTGCTGGCCACCGTAACTAAACAAGCTATTTATATTTAAGCGTTTAGGAGGAATGCATCACGCGTGGTTTACTACCAATACTTACTGGGTTATTAGTGCCTACATCCAAAGTTATAGGTAAGCAGTGCGCAGGCGGGACTCCAGCTAGTGCAGTATACAAGCACAGTTTGCCCACCGGTATACCCATGCCATAAGCACCAAGGTCACCCAGACCCAATATTCGCTCACCATCAGTAACACAGATTGCACGTACGTTTTTTTCTGGCCTTTAATAAAACGAAACAAAATGCCGTAAATAATATGACTAGATATTATAATTTATTTACATCACTGAAATATATATTTCTACAATGATCAATTTAAATTATACACAATATAGAAATTACTTTAGGGCTTTAAGACCAATGGTTAAAACGTTAAACGATACTCAATTTTTTTTCAAAAAAAAAAATAAAAAATACAAAGAGTTGTCCCCCTGCGGGAATCGAAGCTACGACACGTCGCGCGACAGCTTGTTTGCCCAGCCATCACGCCAACCGTTCAGTCAAAATATTTGGTTTGACCCAAAGATAAATTGCAGCAATCGGAGGAATAAGGAAGGCGTATAGGTAGTGTAGAACTCACCAATTCCTAAGAATTTTATGAATTCTTCCTTTGTCATGTATTGTGATGAAGAGTCCTCGTGGTCTCCTGTAAACTAGACCGAACCTTTGACACGCTAATCCAACAGTTGGAGTATAAACTAATGGTAAATACTTTTCGATATTAGAACCTAGTAATTTGTAGAACAATTTCTCATTCGTGTCCTGAAAAATAACATTTTAGTTTGAGATGAAAATATGTATATTATTCTTATATTATTATCTATACATGTAATGAAGTCGCAGGAGTCATAAATAAAACATAATCAAATGATTATTATCTAGATTCTGAAATATTAAAATACTAACTGATCCTACAAATTTCGTATTACCTCAAAAACTTTTTCTCGCCTTTTAAGCCTTCCCTGGAGATCCACAGATAATTCAAGACCAAAATTAGCTAACTCGGTACAGCCGTTTTCGAATTTTAGCCAGACTAAACAGTAATTAATTTTTATATGTAAGAAGATAAGAATGGAATGAAGAAAACGTTTTGGTTTACGGTTTACAATAATACTCATAGCTGCCTACGCCGTAGCCCTAGTCTACGTCATACATTCGTAGCCATGCGCGGCAGAGGCACGCGTAGCACTTGCGCTACGTTTTACGTATTTTGCATAAAGTTTAATCTGACTTAATTTTAAAACTTACCAGTAATTCTGATAAGTAAAGATATTTATTTAGTGGGTTTTTATATCTATCTACTGAGTAAGTGCAGATTGCGAGCTGCTCTTCTTGTGTTTTGACGTTAGCTGCTAATAATCCTTGTATTCCTAGCACTTGTCGTTCTTCCATTGTAAATGCCAGACCCTACAAAAGCAAAAAGCTGTTTCAAAACATATTTCTCTACAAGAAAATATTACAAGATCAATATTTGTCTTGTCTTACCTTGTTAAAATGTGGTATTCGAGTGTAGTCAATACCTCTCATTAAATTTGGACAAACTGTATCGTCATCGGCATTCCGATGTTTTCTAGTAAAAGGTCTGAGCTGGTTAATATTGTAGATTTGTTTTATATTTATAAGTCGACTCAATTGAGGACGTCCTATATTGAATCTGCATTAATAGGAGAACAAAATTTGAATATGAAAAATATGGAGATTTTTGATAATAAATAATGTGTTGATAAAACTGCTACTAACAAATTTCTTAATACGTTGTTGTCGATTAACATTTTGTGTGGTTATTAAAAACCAACATCAAATTATTTATAAATTAATTCTATTTAGAACTTTCTATTACTTCCCTTACAGTTTTAATTGACAATTGACAGAAAATTATGTTGAGAACTCTAATTATTTGTCATTTATTGACATGTTTTTGAAGACCATTTTCATAGCTTATCTTCGACCTCCTTCGGGTTCTTTACTAATTACTTAATTACTGCAACAAGGTTCTGCAATGCAAGACCGAAACTGAAAGAAGGTACATTCTTTCGCATTATCTATAGCTCTGTTACCAAGACAGCAAACTTGTTTTTGAAACTTCAACAGAATTTCGTATTATTTAGTTTGATTTTATTTCAGAAATGATTCCTATTATGTATAGGAACATTTGGTACGTATCATAAATTTTATAGAGCTATGCAATTTTAATACTTTACATTTTGCTTTTTATCCAGAGCTGTCTATTTATCTGTCTGTCTTTATATTTTACTTTCGCAATACTCTGTGCTGAGTAGCTCGTCACTTCGTTATCAATCTGGGGACAAAGAAATGTCGAGACAAAAAGAATTGCCTTCTTATATAAAAGTGCTGTTTTCAGTAAGATCAAGAATACTAGTACTAACTTAAACAAAAAGATGAAGTTACACCAAGTTGCACGATTCTCAATCAGTGCATTAAATTTTGGGGTACCTGGAGATGTAGTTACAGCAAATTTGACGAAAGGCATTGATCATTTAAGAAATCCGCGACTAAACAAGGTACTTGACGATATAAATAAAGTACTTATCTCTCCTCGCTTACTGTGGTGTGGTGGTCTTTCTTCATAACTCGTTTGAGAATACTTAGTAATACTATAATACGGCTAAAGGTTATGCCTTTACAATTTTAAAGAATGCGATAAAAGCGAATTGCGATAGCGATTATGTACAATAAAGTACCTACATTGTTAGTCCTGATTTCTGCAAGTTAATTCGGATTTAACAGTTACAATTGGGTAGTGTTCAGGGTATCAAAATTAAAAATCTAATTAGTCCGTCAGTTAGATAATGAAAAAATATTAGACACCATTTTTTTTTTCTCGTATTAAGTTGCAATACTTAGATAAAATGGCGCTAAGTTTAGGAGTGGGAGGTCGTTACGTCATAACGTGCTACAAAATGTGACACGCTGTGACGTCACATGATATTTCAAATTAATATATCGTCAAAAGTATTTAATTTTGTCTGAAAAGAGAAAATACGTGTCTAATGTTTTAAATTAATGTACCAGACGGACATTAAAATAAAATTAAGGATACTACCCTATTGGAAGTTTATACCTAGTTCGAATTAAAATATTTGGACTTATTCAGTGTTACCATGTTTGTATAATTTCTTCTTTGGACTGTTTCTAGGGTCTCGCATTTACTTTAGAAGAGCGTCAAGCCTTTGGGATCCATGGGCTATTGTCAAGTGAATTCAGAACCCTTGAACAGCAATTGGCGATATGTAGATTGTCAATCGATAGATATAGAAGTTCGTTGAATAAATATCTCTATTTGTCGGAGTTATTGGTAATAATATAGTAACTATGGTATAATAATAATAATAAATATGATTTTTATAATAATCTGATTTGTAAATAGGCAATTTTATCATTAGCAGGTTTTTGGTAGTGAGGACATAACATCATTTCTTTTATCCCCGAAGGGTAGGTAGAGGTGCACATTACAACTCTTAATGCCGCTGTATAATTAACAACTACTTTTCACTATTTATGATATGAGTCCCAAGTAATAGGGGGTGAGCCTCATATACTTCCGGCAACAATTTCAGACTATGTATTACTACTGAGATTTTTTTTAAAACCCTGTAGTACTTAGCCCGACCCAGGAATCGAATCTGAGACCCCTTCCCGCAGTCACACTTGCGACCGCTCGGTCAACAATGTAATGAGGAGTTGTACAAATATAATTAAGATTATCTATGCTGTTTTAAGCTCAATGGAAATGGGTATAGTGACAATGTCACGAATTATGAGAGTTAATAAACTCTACAGTTTAGTTACAAAATCTGAAGACCAATAAAATACTTGTATCAGCTGTACTTAATATCATAGTATAAAGAGCTTAAAATAGTGTTTCATTTCTATTTTGTTGCAGGATACGAACGAGACGTTATTCTATTGCTTACTACACGATGATATTGAAAAATACATGCCTCTGATTAATTCTCCAACGGTAGGGGTTGCCTGCATGAGATTTGGCCTCGTGTATAAAAGGTCCAGGGGTCTCTTTGTGACTATACACGATAAAGGTCATGTTATTGATGTTTTGAAAAATTGGTAAGTTATATTCATACATTTACAAGAAAGGTCAGATATCTGATTTAAAATTGGATACATATTTTCAACTGACCGAGGCGAATAATATTTATTTACTTTTTACGATTTGCTTAAGTAAAACGTGAAGAGTAGTGACATCTTCGACAGTTTTCAAAGTCTCTATCGCAGGCTTTCAGGCGAGGTAGTACGTGTACTAGAAACCAGATGTCGTTTTATTCTAAATTGATACATTCATGAGAACAAAATGCACTCCAATTTGTCAAAAGTATTCTTGTGAGTAGATAAAATACAACGTAGGATAATCGTAAAGAATTCTAAAGATGACTGACTAACTGAAATTGTAGTTGAGATTGTAGTAGTTGGCGCTCTGTATTTTCTGCATACCCTCATAAAGTAAAAGGAAGTTGGGTTTATATGTGTAAAAGAAAATGTTTATTTTAGGCCAGAACGAGACGTTCGTGTGATTGTTGTCACCGACGGCGAAAGAGTTATGGGTTTAGGTGATCTTGGGGCACATGGTATGGGAGTCGCTCAAGGCAAGACAACATTGCTAACTGCTCTTGGAGGAATTAAACCACATCAGTGTCTGCCAGTCTGTTTGGATGTTGGAACTAATAATGGAGTGAGTTACATTAAAATTTTATTTATGAACAAGTGCCTGTTTTCTTCACCCCCTCCTAAATTTTAAGGAACCTCTAAGCTGAGGTAAGTAACATTTAATATCATTTTAGTTTCCACCAATCTATAAGTGTCACTTAACAATTACAGGTAAAGGGTTAGTTTAGGTGCTACGTCACGCTAAGTGACAATTCGTTCGGTTTACCATAAACCATCTAAAGGTGTGGTTGATAAAAATGGCATTCAGAGATCTCTCACCGAAAATTGTGAACATTTTGATTTTTAAGCATAATTTCAAATAATTTGCCTAGAATAAATAGAACTACTGATGCTAGCATATTTTCTATGAATAACTTATTTATCTTCAATTTAAGTCGCTTATAGAAGACCCTCTGTACATCGGCATCCGAGAGGAGCGGTATCCACGCAAGGATTCTGATGACCTCTTGTGCGAATTTTTTGCCGCCTGTAAGAAATTGTATGGACCACAAACTCTTATCATGGTAACTACCTACTCGTATAATAAACCTTGATTAAACCTAAATGAAGTAAAAGTTATAGTTTAAGACTAACATCAAAAATTTTGTCAAAATTGTGAGATTATGAACAGCTCGTATTCTTCTATTGAGAGATGTTTGCAACATTAAACATTCTTATATTGTTTTCAATTAAAATGTATTGAGTTCTAAAATTTTATTCATGGGTTAGGATAGCAACTTGCCAGAACATTTAGGACATGATAAAAAAGTAATAAATCACATATTCGTCATCACGTGCGTCTACGCACTACCTTACCATCTATACCACCGTCAGGTGATCCGTAGGCTCGTTTACCGGCTAATACCATAAAAAATCCTCATTCTATAGATACCTACGAAGAATAATAGAAACTGTTTTTATAATAACTATCGTGAGACATACTAAATTAACTAAAGTCTCTCACGTGAAAATTGATTCTGAGAAAAGCTCTTCTAGTTTCGAACCACAGAGGTGTTCTTTCTCATGAGCGTGGGCGGTCGCGGCGACGTCGCGCAGCTCACAGAAACTAGTAGAGCTTTTCTCAGTATATTCACGTGAGTAACCCGCGATTTTAGTTAATAATAGAAACTATTTGATAAAGTTCACATACTTCTTACAATAGGTACATGATGTTTTTTTTAATACAGATGGAAGACTTAGCAATGCATAACGCGCATCGTCTTCTAACTAGATTTCGAGATGATTATTGTGTGTTTAATGATGATATCCAGGCCACCGCAGCCACAGTGCTCAGCGGACTCATGGTAGCTTGCAATAAGATCACTAATCAAAAACTTAAAGACAATACTTACTTCTTCTTTGGGGCTGGCTCTGTGAGTTACCATTTCATATTTCTATAGATTGCTTCGTGTATATTTTTGCTTAAATACTTTTTTGGTTAGCTATTATAATTATAAAGGAGAAAGTGTGTTGGACTCTTTTGTACAACAAAATCATAGGATGTGTTGAATTCATCAGATAGTGTACCTATAATAAAACTGATTGAGTTATTCATAATAAATAATTGTGAGTTATTTGAACTAAAATCTTACGTCTCCTAGTTGGGGCAGAGGGCATCCACAGAAGTTCCCTATCGCGATCTGTTTGAGTATAATTTAGAAAAATTATCGGACACAGACTTAATTATTCCGAAAACGTCCTTAACTGTGGGAGTCACGAGAACTTGGACGTGAAGTAGCTCAAGAACTTTGAAAGGTTTTATTTCACTGGAATAAAATTCATTCTTATATAATTGGTCTGTAGTAATGCTTAATAAGTTGATATTTCTTTGTTTATTAAGACGGGTGTTGGGATAGCGAATTTGTTATGTGATGCTATGATGGAAGAAGGACTTACAAGCGAAGCTGCTAGAAACAAATGTTATCTATTTGACATTGACGGTTTACTATCACGGAACCGAAAAGCGGAAATACCAGCTCACGCTAGAGACTTCGCTCGTGATTTGGAACCTGAAATAGATTTTCAAACTTGTATTAAAAGATTCAAACCGACTTGCTTAATCGGTAAGATTTTAATGACATTTCTGGTTGTAAGTAACAATATCTATCCTAAACGTGCCCCACACGTCGGCGGATGCGTCTACAGACGTCATCTGCAGATTCGTCGGGGGTGATTTGTGCATCTGTTACGATAATTACCTACTATTTATCTGTGACGATAATTGCCGCAGATGCATCCACCTCGAAGCCTCTTCCAGACTCCGTGGACACATCCGCCGACGTGTAGAGCAGGCTTTAGTTTAATATTCAAATCAGATGGTGTATTGAGTTCTTTGATTTTGAAAGACCCTATCTACTGATCGCAGATAGCTTACCATCAGGTAATCAGTCCACTTGTTTGCCTCCAAAAAAAAAAAAATACAATACTACAAATAACCGCTAATAACAAGATTATTATAAGCCTAAAAGGTAAGGTAAGTGAATTATGTGATCAAATATTAATTGCGCTTCAGGTACATCAACATCCGGAAGTGCATTTACATCGTCCATATTGAAAGAAGTGGCAAAAAATACCGAAAGGCCACTAATTTTTTCGCTGTCAAACCCAACCATTCAGTCTGAATGCTCTGCTCAGGAAGCTTACGACTACACGGAAGTAAGTGCTCTGTGTCCTATAAAGACTGTGACTTCTTGCTTGTTTGTAGTTTTTTCTCAGCCTCAGTGTTGAGAATAAAATAAATAGGGTCTTGCCATTATGTTTTTATGTTTTGAGACTATTAATTAATGACACTACCTACGATGGTTTTGTTTTTCAGTGTTCACATAAACCTAGAAAATTATAATTATGTACTATGTAGTACTTAGGTTCAAAATACTCATTTAACAGTTTTTTTAAATTTCATAGGGTCGTTGTATCTTTGCTTCTGGATCTCCGTTCCCTGCAGTAAAATACAAGGGTAAGAAGTTCTATCCTGGTCAAGCCAACAACTATTACATCTTCCCCGGAGTTGCGCTTGGAGTTGTCGCTGCGAACGCTTTAAGGGTTACTGATGACATGTTCGTTGTAGCTGCTAAGGTTAGTCCATTCTTTTGTTGTATGTTATAATATGGGTTTAATTCTTGGGTTAGACAAAGATTTATGTAGTTGTCTAGAGCCTGGAGTCTGCAGATTGATGAATAGTATTAAACTTTGCATGTGCCCCTGCTTTAGTATTAATGGATTGAAAATTATTACAGAGTTTAGCACGAAACGTGACTGAAGAAGATATAAAAGTTGGTCGCATTTACCCACCCGTCAATAAAATGAACAAAATATCTTTGTCTATAGCTGCTGAAATCGTGTCACTCGCGTGTGATCTAAGTAAGAAAACGTATATTTATCTGTAATTTATTGTAAAACTGTACTTTAGATTTAGGTTAAGTTTTTGTTCGATTCAATATTAAGAACTCCAATCGACTTAAATGAAATCCCAAAATCTGACTTACTCACCAACTAGCAATATCCACGCTGTTTTACCCGCTCTGCTCAGCGCTTATTGGTCATAGCGTGATGTATTACAGCCTATAACCTTCCTGGATAAATGGACTATAACAATACAAAAAGAATTTTTCAAATCGGACCAGTAGTTTCTGAGATTAGCGCGTGCAAACAAACAAACACACAAACAAGCAAATTCTTCAGCTTTATATATTAGTATATACTAAAACATTACCTGTCCTTTTCATAGATCTTACATATCTATGCCCAAGACCAAATGACTACGTAGAATTTGTACGGAATCAATCGTATAAATTTAAATATTCTACTAATATTCCGAGATTTTATTCTTACCCGGAAAAGGCAATTATCAAACTCAAGAATATCGAGGTTCTTCACAAAGGTCTTCTGTAAGTATAATAAATTTGTCCCATTATTATCATGAGCCAGAAGACATCTCCAAAAGGCCGGTAACGCATTTGTAACACCTCTGGTATTTCGGGTGGCCGTGGATGGCGCCGATTGCTTACCACCAAAGGATTCGTCTGCTCGTTTACCGGCGTATGCCGTAAAAAAACAGTTCTCAACCATTGTCCAAAATCTTTTCAACAACTTCAAATATGTCAGAAAAGGTCCTATCGCTAAAATTGGAAAAAATGTATACAACTATTAAATTGTGTTTGAATTTCAAGTGTAATTCAAATAATATTATTATACTTTTTGTTTTCAGTCCACGCAAGAGAAGGCCGCGACCAAAAAGTGATCCGCCAATATTACTATAATTTTCTATTACTTTGTAAAAGAAATGTTTTTAAGAATTTCATGTCTATCATGTTAACTATATTACGTAGGTACGTCATCTTTTGGATGACAGTGAATGTGAAGACTGAGTATAAATAGATTTCATTGTTGTTAGTTAATTATTAAATAATATTATACGTTACATATAATAACTTTATATTTATTCTGTAGTGAAAAATAAATAGTTTAATGAAATTGAGTACTTAAGGTTTATTTTTAAAGTTCACAATCATCCACCTCATCTCGGAATGACTTAAATACACGAAACACTCCCGAAACACTGACAAAAATAAATAAATTGTTTTTACAATTTTAATCGTTTTCGTTTCCGTGTTATTCATGCAACATCAGCCTTGAGCAGTTGATTACAACTAATATTACTTAAAAGTAATATTTAATTCCTTATTTTTATGATAATAAAACTAGTTTTTTACCATCATCTGTGGGCTCTATGTATTTATTATATATAAGTTGAGCGATTGTAAACTACTAGAATTCTTCAGTTTCAACCAATAAATTTTATCCATGCGAGATTAAGAATATTGCAAACAATAAAAAAAAAAAACTTTTTGAGCAAAACACTCCAAAACGGTAATATGCACGGAATATAGAATACAATGGAAGTAGCAAGTAGGCGTGGCACGCGTGCCACATCTGAGCAGTGTACAGCTTACTCGAGGCAAATTCGAGTTCAGTCTCGTTCGAACATGGCGTCGAGTTGCTAGTCTCGTGACAAATACATATTTCCTCAACTATGCCGTTTTGTTCCGTTTTGGCGTGTAAAAATGATAGCAGCCGAAAAATCGTAAAAATGGAGGTGTTTCGTATCATCGGTAAGTACAATTTTCATTGTTTTCTTGTTAAAATCTTATTTTATTTCAATTTACAAAAACGGTTATTAAAATAATATTATTTACTAAAACGGTTAGTCAAAATTAACCTTACGCCTTCAAGATAAAGTTTATTTTGGATTTATTCCATTCAATAGAACATTCTCGCCAGTTCTACGCTACTCAAATAGTGATGTGGTCAAGTTACATATTTATCGATTAATATCGATGCAAGTGTAATGTAACATTTATTTAGATTATTTTTTTATTATTATTTTAGTGGTGACCCCGACGTGATTGGAAGCAACCTTCACTTCACGGAGCAGATCAGCACCGTCATCCTTATCACATTATCTATATAAAGTTTGTAAAAAATTATGTAATAGTTGTTACTTATATTGCCTATGTGAAATAAAAAAAATGATTTTTTGAAAAAAGAAACTAATAAAAAATACGAACAAAATGGTTTTTGATTTACATGTAAATAAATACTTACCCTTTTTTGTTACGTTTAAAAAGTTATCAACGACATATTAATTTTATTATTTTAATACTGTCACACTATAGCAGTCAAT